AAAATTCTATATCTGTGCAGTAACAATAATGATCTAAAATAATAACACTTGGATTTACAGTAGCATCAAAAATAAAACACTAAGAAATTAACCAAAGAAATGCAAATGTTATACTTGAAAAATCCAAAACATTGTCAAATCAAAGACCTAGAGAGAAAAGGATCCTATATTTATGGATTAGAAACTTAAGATCAAGATGGTACTACTCCCAAAAGTATTTTGAGAGATTGCAGACTGCTTTATGGTATGTGAATTACCTCTCAGTACAAAAACAGACAAGATCAAAATTGAAATAAAACTACCAGTATACAATGTGAGTTTGAAGTTGAGATTATGTGGATATTCATTTACATGGAAGGAAAGGTTGGGCAAAGATTTTTATACATATTTACATGCTGTTGTAATTTATTCTCAAAATGCATGGCATTTGATGGGCAACATTCTATTTTTATAACAAACTAATATCACTTAAATAACAACACAACAATTCATGATCCAAGGCTCATGAACTTAATTCTTTCCAAGGTCTGGATCACAAACTGAATTGGATGAGAACTGAATCATATTCAGTGGTTATAGTCACTGTTGACCTTATGGGGAAATTTGATTCTGTTCTTGTCCAGTTCAGTTTGTGACCAAAATTGTGGAAAGAATTAAGTTTGTGAACCGAGGCAATACTGTAATTTGTAATTATAAATTATGAATATTCTATTGCAGTACTTTAAATTTACTTTATTAAATCATGATAATAGGAATTATTCGTCAGGATGTATTCCAGTGATTAAATTTTACTTTTTATGAATGCATCCCCAATAAGTTGGGGGTAGAGGATACTTAAGTATTATACTATTTTATTTAATAAGCCAGCATTGAGTATCCACTAAATACAAAAGTGATTCTACAGGCACTTTATGGGGAAAAACATTCCTGATTGAAGGTCTTTAGCTGAAAAATTTCCCACTTGTTTTCCAGAGCCATAGATGTTACTGTACAGATTTGAGTGGGAAAGTCAGACTTGTATCCATAACTGGAAGCTGAATTATTGATAAACAGTTTTACATAATGGGGTTCAAATCTACAATTGTAGATAAGAGAAACTATATGGAAATCCTAGCCCTATTTAGTAATGCCACATTGTCATCTCTAATTTCTGACTTCTATTGCATTTTTAAGATGATCTTGATAGAAAAGAATTATTTTTTTGCCACTTTAAAAATTCGTATCAGACTTTCAGTTAGTGCCCTCTAGTGGTATTTACAAATCCCTTATTTTCAGTCTGAAGTACTGAAGCATTACTGTCACAATCCAAGACATGTATATTGTAAATCTGCTTGTAGATCTTGGTGACTATTCAGGCACACTGAATCACTGCATCTGCCCTATGATTATGTCCCATTTAAAAGTTTTAAATTTACTTAATTACGAAAAAAAGGTCTTTCATGTTAGTTCCATGTCAAAGGCTGTTCTGATATGACTGAGACTTGCTATATTTCATTGTGTAATATATTGAAATGAATGTTAAGTAAGTAGTGGTGAACTAATAGCATGCGTGCGGCAGCAGGCTATTTGTATCATTGAATACTCTAAAAGGTTCGCCATCACTGCTGTAAATAATTCTTTAGGCAAGCACTTAAAAACACATTCTAATATATTTCAACTTTGTGATCTAAAGATTGATATGCTGCTGAAAGAGTATTTACTCTCTGGAGACATATCGGAAGCTGAGCATTGCCTTAAGGACTTGGAAGTACCTCATTTTCACCATGAACTTGTATATGAAGTAAGATTATTTTGCCATGCCAAAGAAATTTTTTAAATGTTTCTTATTGTACCCTAGTGAATTAATGCTTTTTTAGTAACTTTTTTTTGAAAAATATTAAGAAAATGATTTTTAAATGATAATCATTGTAAAATTATGTAATCATTGTTTGGTATGTAATCATTCTCAGTATTAGAGGAAAAATTTGATACATTTGTAGGAGCAGATTATTTTATGAATTATTCTTTCATTCAATTTTTAGGCTATTATAATGGTTTTAGAATCAACTGGAGAAAGTGCATTTAAGATGATTTTGGATTTGTTAAAATCCCTTTGGAAATCTTCTACCATTACTGTAGATCAAATGAAAAGAGTAAGTATAACATTATTTTGAGCAATTTTGAGGCTTACACTGTAAATATTTATTAAATAAACATTTTGAGTTGTCAAGGAAAGTTTCTTTTAGGTATGTTTAATATTCTTGTCTGTAGGTTTTGTTTGTTTTCTTTATGGTAGTGTTTGATGTTTGAAACTCTTGCAATCATTTCTCAGAAAGAAACGTTGCAGGAATTTTTTTTTTTTGGCCTATTTTTAAAAATGTGTTGTACTTCAGGGGTTCAGTTTTGAAGTTATATATGTAGAGAAAAATACCAGTCTTTAACGAATGATACTTGTTTCATATTTAAAATGCTACATATTGTTGAAATGATGTATGACATTTGCCTTGTAGTTTTAAAAAGGTAGTAAGTGTAGAGAAGTAGATGAGGAATTTGCCTGATATCTGATGTTGGCCTGCAGCTGCTTTGAAAGTTTTAAAGAAAACATTTTATAATAGATCTACTTCTGTACTTTTTAAGGGCTCAGATCTGATTTGTTTGAACATAACAAACATTTAACCTTAAATATAGGTGACTGTTGTAATGATGGATTATTTTATGGTATATATTTTATATAGGCTAACAATTCTGTGTATAATTTCATTGCTTTAGGGTTATGAGAGAATTTACAATGAAATTCCTGACATTAATCTGGATGTCCCACATTCATACTCTGTGCTTGAGAGATTTGTAGAAGAATGTTTTCAGGCCGGAATAATTTCCAAACAACTCAGAGATCTTTGTCCTTCAAGGTACTTATTAAATAGTACTTTCTCAGTCTGTAATACTGGATGAGATACTTAGGAAGGCTATGCTATATAGTTTTCTGTTATTCCAGCTGTAAGAAAAATACTGTGTCTTCCCTGATGTGACTAGAGTGAGAATCATCTGTTTTGAGTTTATGGAGAAACATTGAGTGAAGCTTGTTTTGCTCCCTAGTAGATGTATACAGGACTACCTCATGAAGCTCCAGTTCATTTTAAGGCAATTAACTTTGTGCAGTAGTTCTGTGTACAGGCTCTGTTTAAGTAGTTTCAGTGTTACTTCAGAGTAGGTATTAATCACAAGTAAGATGAGAAAACTGAAGTTTATGGGGTTTAATGTACTTTTTCTAAGTTCACACATGGTAGAGGTCAAGTATGAATGCAGATTTTTTCAGGCTTCAAAGATCCTAGAATCTTTTTCCATACTCTGTAGCTTCATTTCCTCATATGATGAAGAATTTGGCTATTAGAAAGTATGTGTAAATGGACATACATAAAGGATGCTTTTTTTTGGAGGTAATTACTTGTACTACTAGGATGTAACACTTGAGTTGGTAAGGGTTTTTGTTGATAATTCTTACAATGTAATAATTCTTATAATGTAATAGGGATAAACAGTTAAAATTTGCTTTAGTTTATGAACTTTTTTTGTGATTTTTTTTTTTAATTCTGAAAAAAATTTTAAGCTTTGAGTATTTTTATTTAACTGCATTGTGAAAGTTAAGTCTCTCAAAATATTTCTTGGTAGGATTCCTGATGCTCTACAAAGTTTAGAAGCCATTAAGACTGAAGGAAAATAGTGGAAAATGGTTTAATGGCTTTGATAGAAATGTTTGGAAATGTAGACCTTGGCTTGGTGATGACACTGTTATGTATTGATGTGCCAAATGTATTTATTAGTAAAACATCTCGTGTTTTGCAAGGCTTCTTGCTGTTGATAGCTTCATTCCTTACCTGGTTTCAAAGCCTTTATATTCAAGAAAATGTAGGTGGTTTCCACTTTGCCATAGTGAGTTTGAAAGGGGGTATCTTTGGTGTTGCTTTTTAAGTTTTTCAGCTTCTGTTTGAAAGTCTGATGATTTCTATTGTGGCTTTATTTTTGAGGGTCATATGAGGGGACACCTAAATTTTCAGTGTACATCAGACAACTTTGATTTTTGTCATAGATGGTTTTGCTTGTTTGGGTGAGGTCCATCAGATATTAAGGGATAATTCTGTACCACCTCTGTTTTCCCTGGGCTCTTGCTGCTACCTGTAGTATCTAGACTGTGGTTACACTCTAGATATCTAGAGGGAGATACTACACTCCCCCTCTCGGGGAGGGCTTTTTCAGTCTGAAATAGTAAAAATCCCAAAATAGGACACAGGCTAGAATTAACTGTATTCTGGATTATGTTTCTACATGCAGTTAATGGCTTTTCTATAGCTGGTAAAAATTTTAAAAATTGTCAAATATGGAACTTATCAAACTGGAACCTATCACAGTTCTAGTTTGCATAATTCTCATGTTAGTGTTTCCATTGTGACTTATTATGTAACTTTCAAACAGTGATATGGTAGAAATGAATATTAAACCCTAAACCCAATGTCTTAGTTTTCTGTTTTAACATTTAACATAACTCCAATAAGATAATACATGTATTTTAGTAATTAAGCTTTTATTTAAAAAAAATTGATCAGATTTCCTGTTCATTTGACATTTTTTTGCTAGGATATACTAGAAAAAAATGTCTTTTTCAAAATATTAAGACATGCTTATTATTTTCTTAAAAGCTTTCAAATCCAACTGTATAACCAAAAATTGCCAAGCTTTTAACTTAATTGAATATAATGAGAATTTGTTTTCATATGTTTGTGCTTTCATTACAGGGGCAGAAAGCGTTTTGTAAGTGAAGGAGATGGAGGTCGCCTTAAACCAGAAAGCTACTGAATATAACAACTCTTGCAGTCTTAGGCATTATAAAAATATATATCTGAATTGTAAGAGTTGTTAGCACAGTTTTTTTTTTTTTTAATTTTAGCACTTGTTTTGGGTACAAGGCTTTTCTGAAATTTTATAAATTTTAAGGGGAATTTTTAAAAGGAAGTTTTCTTTTTTCTTTTTTTTTTTTTTTGAGGGTAGAAAGGAAAGAGAAAAATAACCACTTAAGTGGAATATTCTAATAAGCTACCTTTTGTAAGTGCCATGTTTATGACCTAATCATTCCAAGTTTTGCATTGATGTCTGACTGCCACTCCTTTCTTTTAAGGACAGTGTTTTTTGTAGTAAAATCACTGGTTTATACAAAGCTTTATTTAGGGGGTAAAGTTAAGCTGCTAAACCCCATGTTGGCTGCTGCTGTTGAAATACTGTGCTTTGGGAGTAAAAAAAAAAAAAAAAGTTTTTTTTTTGTCTTAAAGAATTTCTAAAAAATGAGTCATGAGACTTAGTCGTCTTTCCAGGGAACATATTGATTGGTCTTTTAAAGACTAGACAGTTAAGTAAATGGTGGCTGGAACATCTATTTTTCTACAAAACTGGAAAAATGAACCTGGTTCTGTAAGAATGTACAACAAAATAAAACATGTGAAGCAGTGGTGATTCTTTATTGGGAGTACACTTATTTGCAGTCTTTCAAAAACCTCTTTAATTTCTTCCTTAGCATGGTATTAGGCCCTAGGAACCATACTCAGCATGGCAAAAAGCAAAACACAAAACTTAAATTTCATATAGCACTTAAATTATATAAAGGACATTTTTTTTTTTATTTTATTTTTTTTTCTTCGGTTCCGGGAACCAAACTCACGACCTTGCACTTGCCAGGCAGGCGCTGTACCACTGAGCTAAATCCCCAGCCCCCAACATCTTGGCAAAGTGCAGAAAAAGAAGCTGATTTACTGTTAAGATTGTTTTTGGAAGCTTGGGAAAGATGATTACTCATGCAAAGTGAATTACAAATGATCAACCTGATATGTCTGAAAATAGCTTTCATGGAGGGAAAATTCACCAGGCGAA